CCTATTTCCAAATAAGGTCACATTCTGAAGTGCTGAGGGTTAGGATTTCAACATATCCTTTTGGAGGACCCAATTCAACCCACGAGACATGCTAAGAGAGAAGCTAAGTTGGGCAATTTTGCTACTTTAGACAGAGTGGTTAGGGGTAACCTTTTTAATGATTTGTTATTTAGATTGAGAACAGAAAGATCCATCCAAATGAAGAATCTGGACAAGAATGTTGTTGATTAGAAGAATAGTGAAAGAATCCATGGTCAGAAAAAAGGGCTTGGGTGTTGCCTTGTTGAACAGAAAGGTAGCCACTGTGGCTGGACCATGGAGAGCCAGAAGAGTGGTATAAGATGGAGGGAAGGGACAGGCTGGAGACAGCCCCATCAGAGCCTTGTTCCCGAAGATAAGGAATTTGGAATTCATAAGTGCAATGGAAAGCTATTGAAAAACACATATCTGACTGATATTTTACAAAGATTATTTTGGCTGCCATTTGGAGAATAGGTTGCTGTATTAGGATTCTCTAGGGGCAGAACTAATAGGATACACACACACACACATATATGTGTGTGTGTGTGTGTGTATATATATAAAGGGGAGTTTATTAAGTATTAACTTACATGATCACAAGTTCTCGCAATTGGCTGTCTGTAAACTTGAGGAGCAAGGAGAGCCAGTGTGAGTCTCAAAACTGAAGAACTCAGAGTCCAATGTTCAAGGCAGGAAGCATCCAGCACAGGAGAAAGATGTAGGCTGAGAGGCTAGGCCAGTCTCGCTTTTTCACGTTCTTCTGCCTGCTTTTTATTTGCTGGCAGCCAATTAGGTGATGCCCAACAGATTAAGGGTGGGTCTACCTTCCCCAGCCCACTGATTCAAAGGTTAGTCTCCTTTGGCAACACCCTCACAGACACACCCATGATCAATACTTTGCATCCTTCAATCCAATCAAGTTGACACTCAGTATTAAACATCACAATTGCAATTGAACAAGAGTGAAAGTAGGGAGAGTTCCTATGCATATGTCAGATTCTAGATTTTCCTTGTGATACAGAGAAATATAAGACATAAACTTGTCTTCAAAGACAGGGCAATATGCTTGGGGAAACAACACAATTACATATAAGCAGATATTAGACTACATAAGATATAATAAACTGTGTTCTAGATGAATGATATTCATTAGATTTCACTCAACGTATATTTATTGAGTGCCCATTAAGTGTTAGGCATTGTGTCAATATAGGAACACAAGAACACCACATTAAGTGTGTAAAGAGATTAGAATCAATTGGTAAGACAGACATGGAATAAATGACAAGAATGGGTATAGGTTATGCTGGGAAGGCGCAAATGAGAGAGTGGTCAATTCTATCTAATGAAGTGATTGGGAAAGAATTAATAAAGACAGAGACATTTTCTTCTATTCTTAAAAGACAGACAAGAACCCATATTTATCTGGCAAATAAGTTGGAAGTTGGTTAATGTAGGAAAAGGGAGAGAAGTTGGGGTTATCACATCAGGCAAAAGAAGGGGCTTGAGCAAAGGTCAACAGGTATGAAGAAGTGCACGTTTGCAGATTATATGGGTTCGCAGCCAGAGTTTGGAGAAAGACTATGTGGTGGAGAGTTTTGTTTTTATTTTTTGTGGCTGCCTAGGAGATAATCCTCTTTTCTGTGTGTGGGGGAATATGTCACTGTGTGAGATGGGGAGACAGAGTCCGATTTTCCTTTATGATCGCTCTCTCCAAGGCCTAGTACTGAGGCCTAGCAGGAGTTGGGAATGATTAATTTGTCCTACTGTAAAACTGAATAGCTGTGGGATTTTCTGTAGCAGTATTCAGCATACCAGGTATAGGAGTATGGTTCAATTCATTTAATATTGTGTATATTAGGAGTGGGGATTGTGGGAGCTAGACAATTTAAGAAAGACAGAAGTGATTTTTTGACTGGAATGGTTAAGGACAGTCTAAGGAGGTGAGGGATTTTTATTCAGACCTTGAAATGCAGGCAGGAGTAAGTAGACTTACTGGGGATGGGAAGTTAGCAGTGGAAAGAATACTGAATAAAAGAATGGCAAAGGATACAGGATCAGATGTGGGAGCAGATGAGGCATATGGGAGATCTAATAAACCAGTCTGGCTAACATAAAGCCATAATGGAGGGGGTGTTGAAAGGGTACATCTGATAAAGTTTGGATAAAGTACAAATTCCTTAGCCTTGAATTCCAAGTCATATCTTCCAGGCAATGAGGATCTGTTGAAGGTTATTGTGTAGGAGAGTGATTAAGACTAATGTGGTGGCTGTAAGAATGAGAAGAAAATTGACTCCAGGCAGGAAAACTGGTTTAGGAGGCTGGCAAAGGAATCTAACATTCAGGGAGCAATAAGAGAGGAAAGAAAGGGACTGAGAAGCAATAGACAGAATGTATTCTCTCCTCTGTGCTTCTGGCTCTTTTCACACTATAGAACTTTCACTCTCAATCATGAATATTCACATAAATGTTTATCTCTCCCCAGTGGCTTCTTCCTCCCTCCCTCTGTTTCCTGCCCGCTTTTATCTCTGTCTCTCTCACACTGTTTCTTTTTATTTCTGTGTTAATTATTTAATTCATCAAATATTTATTATTTACGTGATGGACATTGTACAAGACACTAAAGGTTCAAAGAAGGGAATTCTATTCTCCTTGGAAAACAAATACAGAACCAAGAAGGGCTCAACAACAAACCAAGTAGAAGTTTCTGCCAGAACTTAGGGGTGCACAGGGGCCTTTCATCTATTATGACAGAGAAGGCGATGCATGAACCCAACCTGAAAAATGCAAGGAAGTCATCAGGGGAGAAGGTAGAGGAGGATGCAGAGGTACAGCAGGGAAGAGGACCTCAGGAACTGCTGGTCATTTGCACACTATGTCACAGGACCTGTGTGCAGGAGTGATGAACCGTGATTGGAGAAGTTAGCAGGGCCTTGTGTGTCATGCTGTAAAACTAAGGTTTATTCCAAATGTGTTGGAGGTTCTTCCAGAATTTTACATAGAATAATAATATCAGATATTTTTAGCATCAGCAAAACTGAGGATTTATATACTCTCAGGCTCTGGAGTCAGATTGAGAACAGAATGTTACTCATGGTTAGCCACTTGGTGGCTCTGTGACCTGGGACAAATTACCTAGCCTCTCGGTCTCAGTTTCTTCTCTAAAATACCTTTTTTTTTTTTTTTTTTTTTTTTTTAAATACTACCTTCTTTGTAGGCCTTGTTTTTTATTTGGTGAGAATTAAATGATATATTATTTATAACATTCTCTTATTTTTACCTGATATTGACAAATTATTACTGTATATTTTATGGAGTACAAAGTAATGCTGTGATACATGTATACAATGTAGAATGATTGAATCAAGCTAATTAACATATCCATGGTCTCGAATGGAATACTTATCATTTATTCCTCCTGTCTAACTGAAACATTGTAGCCTTCAACCAACATCTCCCCATTCCCTTGATTCCCCAGCTTCTGGTAACCATCATTCTGCTCTCTGCTTCTATGTGTTGGATTTTTTTTAGCTTCCACATATAAGTCAGAACATGCAGTATTTGCCTCCATGTCTGGTCTATTTCATTAGCACAAAGTCCTTCACGTTCATTCATGTTGTCACATATGACAAGATTTCCTTCTTCTCCTTCATCTTTGAGGCTGAATAGAATTCCAATGTGTATATATACCATATTTTCTTGTCCATTCATCGACTGATGAACACTTAGATTGATTCCATAACTTGACTATTGTGAATAGTGCTGCAATAAACATAGGAGTTCAGTATCTCTCAGGCTTCCTGATTTCAAATCTTTTGGATACATACCCTGGAGTAGAATTCCTGGATCTTATTTCTAACATTCTTAGTACAGTGCCTGGCACATAGAAAGCTTTCCAAACAGATATTTACTTTTACCAGTAATGACTAGGAATGTCTTATCACCGCAGTCATTGTTACTGTTATAAAAACTGCTCTATAAACTATTATGAACATCACTCATCTTGGTGTGCAGGAACAGCCAGAGACGAGAATAAGCTGGAGGAAGGGAGACCAGTTAGGAGGCCTCTGGAATAATTTAGGAAAGAATATTCTGTTTTCTGTCTGGTGCCCAGCTGTCACTCAGAAGGAGCTTAAAAAAAAGTTTGTGGAATAAATGAAAAGGAAGACTGAGCAGAATTCAGTGATTGATTAGCTCAAAGAAACCAGGGAGCAAATAAAAGATGACTGCAAGACTTTGAGATTGGGTGACTGGAGGATTGTGGTACTATCGACACAAAGAAACCCTCTCTCTTTCCACCCCTTGGCTCTGCATTCTCAGGCCATTGCTCACCTGACATCTTTGGATGGTTGGCCGCTTTTTGAATTTCACTCACTTGCTCAATGACTGTGGTGTGCAGGTCTGCTGCTTTGTCTTTTTCCAGAATGCCTTGTCATAACTATAGCAAAGGCATGTCTGAATTTAGAACCCCCACAATTCAAAAATCTAAAACCCCACTTACAAATTGGGTTTCAATACATCTCTCAGGTTGCTTCTAAATCTTTTTTTTTTTTTTTTTTTCATTTTTAGATCGTGTAGATGTCTCAGGAAAGACTTCAGCATGTGTGCCTCTGTCAGGGGCACTAATAAAATCCTATGCTTTTACATCCATTATTGTATTTGGAACAAAATGTCCTTTGTGGTCATTTGATATTATATATTTTCTGTTTTGTATATAATATAAAATTACATATAAATTCTATTTTAGGTCTCATCTCATTAAAAAACAAAACAACAACAGCAACAACAAAAACTTGGCTCAGCTTTTGGCTTTTCTACTTCTGTCAACTTGTTATTTGTACTCTGACTCCAAAGATGATTGGAGAAACTTGGGAGCATAACACAAGATTTTATTTTTACCAATTGATCTGTCGAGTGCTATGGACTGATTTTTGCACAAAGTAATAGCAGGTTGGGCTGATGCCATGGTTCTCTGATTTTCTTTCTTTCTTTCTTTTTCTTGAGTTTGATTATTCTGATTACTAAATGCCTTGCAGTTTGACAAAGAACAGAAGTTATGAGCTCATACTAGGAATAGGTTAGCCAGGTTCAAGGATCTCACAACATTTAGAAAGATTGTTTTTAAGGAAGAAATTTAAAAAAAAAGTCTTATAGGGAAATCAGTGACATATCATAAACAAGTTTGCAATGCTGTCTACTAGTATAAATGACTGCCAGACTCATTGCCCAGCTGTTTTTGTGATCCAGGGCACATATTTGCAAGACAGCTGCCCTGAACTAGGGAAGGTCAAGCAAAACCCACTGCCTGTCTAGAGATGGCTGTCCTGATGTCAGTCTCATTAGTTCCTGAGTTCTTGCCAAGGAAGTTAGCAAGAACTAGTATAGATCTGGAGGTCAAAGTTTAGCAGAAAGAGCCCCCACAGCAGTGCGCAAAGAGCGCTCTGCCCTACTCTTTTTTTCTCTACTGGTCACCCAGTTGGTGTGGGGTGTGTGTGTGTGTGTGTGTGTGTGTGTGTGTGTGTGTTTCCAAAATAGTACTTGAAGGATAGGAAGTTAAATGTCTGTGGGAAAAAGCAACGTTTTGGGTTCTCAGCGTTTTAGTCAGCTGCTTTCTTACTTTTCCAGACTGTGACTATTCTTTGAAGCTATTAAAATCTATTCTTGGTAATGAGAAAAGGGAGTGACTTGATGGTTCTTTTCCAATTGCTCTGTGTCTAACAAGAAATACCTAAATAATTTGCCGTTTTAAATTTCCCCTAGTAGTGGCAAAACAATTCTACTCCTATTTGTGGGGGAAAAAAATCTCTGCCGTGAATTTCAGTGTTGGGAACATAGCGAGACAAAAAGCTACCTGGGCTAGCCTGTTTCTCCAGGATGAAACAAAAGGAATATAGATTTTAGTGGCTGCTTTAACAGTTTGGTAAAGGATCTGGTCTATCTTGGGTGTGGGAGATGGGAGGGATAAAGAAGTCAGAATCCCATTTAGATCACAGAAAGAAACCAGGAAGTAAGGGGAAATTATTACAGTCTGTTCATAGCTCAGAATGTTAAAGGCAGCAACCTCTGCTGGTTGGTTATTCATTAGCAAAAAGGAGAGAGCCGTCCAGATCCAGACTGGTCCAAAGACAGGAGCAGACTTGAAACAGGGGGAGAGCTCCTGGCAAAAGCAAGGTGTGGAGGTTTTACCAGGGGTTAGTAGCTTCCTCTTGCTAACTTTTTGTTGGGACAAAAGGCAAGATGGCACGATTCTGTTCTCAGATATTTGTCTAAATAAAGCCCTTTTAATTTAATTTTATTTTTGTTGTGCGATTCTTAAGCAGATACGAAGAAAAGATCCTTCCTACTGAGCAGCTGCCCGGCTCCTGCTCAGTTTTGCTTGGGGGTAGCAGCTCCGGCCACAGAAAGCAAGCCGGTAAGTCTCTCCAGGTAGGACTTGCTGCAACCAGCTGCTGGACTGATTTGAAATGGGACTTTGTGTACTCTCCAAAGTATGGTGAGTTGGTGCTGACTTCAAAGTTGCCTGGTGAAGGAAGAGAAGGTGGATCGCAGAGACTAAGGGGAGAGGGAGAAGCCCTGCTCCTCTTCTCCCCACCAAGGCACAATGAGCAACATCTGTCAGAGGCTCTGGGAGTACCTAGAACCCTATCTCCCCTGCTTGTCGACGGAGGCAGGCAAGTCAACGGTGATTGAAAATCCAGGGGCCCATTGCTCTCCCCAGTCACAGAGGCATGGCCACTACTTTGTGGCTTTGTTTGATTACCAGGCTCGGACTGCTGAGGATCTGAGCTTCCGGGCAGGTGACAAACTTCAGGTTCTGGACACTTCGCATGAGGGTTGGTGGTTTGCCAGACACTTGGAGAAAAGGCGAGATGGCTCCAGTCAGCAACTACAGGGCTATATTCCTTCTAACTACGTGGCTGAGGACAGAAGCCTACAGGCAGAGCCGTGAGTAGTACAAACTTCTATTTAATTTCCGAACTGTCTGAGGGCTGGGTAATGAGTTTTCCTTTCTACTTCTCTACAACCCCCTAATGCCCAAAGAGTATGAGGAAAGTATGAGGAAGTACTGGCAAGAAACCACTAATTGAAACACACCTCCCCCGCTGAGTGAGAGTGAAACTGGCGGGTAATTGTTGTTGAGATGACTTCAATTACAGTATGTACACCCACAGGCCTAGGGTGTATTTTCAACATTAAACAAATGATGTGTTTAATACTCTACCTTCTTTTTGGCTGTGAAATAACTCGTGCCTCACTTTAACAACAAAATTGCATTTTGTTTGAAGGTATATTATAGGACTTCCCTTAATGATGCTCTCAAATCTAAACTTCAGATCCTTTTTTTAAAAAAACTTTTGAAACATTCCAGGGTTACATACATCAACTCTAGCCCTAGCTCTCATCCTAATCCCTTTCATTCTGATGGGAATACGCAGGGCTAACGTAGAAGATAACACTTAGAAGATACTAATGTTCTCAGTTAAATCATGATATAGACTTTTTAAAAAAAATTCCCAGGTCCTGAGATATGCTACCCAAATGATGATATCTTTTTGTTTTTATTATGATTAGAAACTGGCCAGCTACAGACATTTACTAAGTTTTGATAGGAAAAATGACAACATCTCCTTAGAAGAAGAGATAAAGACTTTATCGTGGTATTTGAATGAAATATGAATTATAGTGGAACAAAAGAGGAAAGTTTTTACGTACTTATTCACTCATCCATCTATCCATCCATCCATTCATCCATCCATCCATCCATCCATCCATCCATCCATCCATCCATCCACGCATCCATCCATCCACCTACCACCCCTCCAAGTGCCACGCATAGACAGTAGTGGACTGAGTCGGGGAGGGTAAAGGAGGTTATTCTAGTGGTGACTGAACACAAAGTGAATAAAGCATAGTCTTGACAATGTATACTTGGGGTCTGGTGGGTTGGGAAGCAAATGGAGACTCTTATTGGTCCTGATCTCATTGCCGCCTGGATCCAGTGAAACCTTAGGCTGGGAATGTCTCTCAGAAAATGAACTCATTTTATAGAATGGTTTCTTAATAGGGAAACCATTGGAGATTCTCTTATGTAAGTGTTTCTTATTTTTATGTGACAATCCCTTACTGGTGCAGGGAATAAAATAATAATAAATAGCCATAGAGCATTGTTGCTACTTTCCAAACTCATGCATCACATATGAAGGGAGGTTGGATGATTTTTGATTTTTGAGATTCTTTTCAACACCAAGAGCCTATAAATGTTTGGAACGGTCTTAATTTATGCTTAAATAGAAAGGAATTGAAATATACTTTTGATGAATGGAATTGATCAGTTATCAAGTGGGAAAATCACCTGTGTGAACATTTGCTTTCTGTCATAATCTACAGGAAATATCTTTATACATTGGATACACTTATGTGCATTTATGTGTTTTCACTACTATATGATTTCTATGTCCTATATGGCATTATGCATATTTTATATTTGGCATAACATGTATAGAATAATAATAATATATTAATGTTTCATGCCTTGAATTCATAATCTGTTAGTTTTAAATATATTCAACTCATATAACTACTTAGGACCTCAATTTCCTCATCTGCAACTCTCTGGGGTTGCCAAGACCAATGGATTTCCTGACTATCTGGAAACAGGAGCTCTTATGTTCATATGTAGTGGTTCAGTTACATTCATGCTTGACTGTATTAGAAATGCTGAGGAAAGCAAATTGACTGAAACAAGTCAAGCAATCCAAAGGTATCATATTCTGGGTAAAAGGCTTAAGAGCAGTGTTCTTATTAATTTAGATTTTCTTTGCCTACAAACACAAAATAAAGCAACTAAATTATTATGGCTATTTTTGATTCTCAAGGCCACTTGTAGCCAATAATATTTTTTCCCTCTGCACATTACCTTGACCTTTCTTCTTGGAATTGGTTCTCAGCAGCATTCCTACTTGTCACTACCATTCTAGATCTCTAGTTAGCTTTCCTCGGGATCTTCACATCACTGGAATAAAAACATGATGCCCAAAAGATGCTGATACTCTGCCTCCTGGCTGGAACAGGCTACTTCTTTTCTTTTAAGTGCACACCACGGTCTTCACCTGTGAACCTAGCTTACTTCTGAAGTTTCTTGTCACCATAAGGCAAAATTGCTTCAATACTCTTAGTGCAAGTAGCTGTAGCTTCTAGAATTCCCCTCCATCTCAAATAGAAGCGATTTTTACTGAACAGCCTTCTGTGTGAGCGTGTCCAAGTGGCTCACACAGTACTTTAACACTTGAAATATTATACATAAACACCTTATTTTAATATTTTTATTCAGTGAATTTTTCAAAAATATATTTTTTTTCTCATGAATGTGCAAATTAATGTAATTTTTTTAAAATCATGAGCTCAGTAAATAGACTTAAGGAAACATTATTGTTTATATCCACATGTATGTGATGAGTAGGCAATGGGAAACCAATGAAAGCTGTCGTCTAATTCCTAATTAGACCAGTTTAATGCAATGTATGTTAGTATTTGTGTTTTTGTGTCTTTATTCTTGACTTGGATCTGTAAGAAAAAACTGCAAATACTTCTGGAGTTATTGGTGCCAGGGAAAATTAGTTTAAAGCTTTAGTTTGCAGTTTGTTTATTTGTTTTCTTTATACTTGGAAGTAGAGATGTTGAAAAACAAACTATTGTTTAAAAAGTCTAATTTACTAATTCTTACTCCACTTAGAAATGCTTTTCACCTTTACTGAATATCTTACACTCAGTGATATAGTAAACCGATTCTTGAAGATTTATTTTGTCTTTATGAAGAATCATTGAATTTATCTTATCTTCAACTTGAATTTATTCCTAGCTCATTTTAGAGATGAGTCTTTTCCTTCAACATCTTCGATGTGAATGCCTCGAAAACCTTATCCTTAAGGTCTTATTAATCAGAACTTTCTTTAATATTTTATTCATGGTGTTTTTAAAGATATAAAGTTCACATAAAAATAATCATGTGGAAATAACATATAAATATTAGAACCAAAAGTCATGGCTTTAAATTTCATTGCTTTAATTATAAAAAATTCAAGTATTACAAAATATTGATAAAAAGCAAAATGATCAGCAACAATATTACATGCAGCATCATTTATCTGCAAAGAGTTTAAAAAGTTTTTTGCCTAAGGAGGATCACCTGAGTCCAGGAGTTCAAGACCAAGCTGAGCAACATAGTGAGACCCAGTCTCTACAAAAAATTAAAAAATTAACTAGGCATGGTGGCACAAACCTGTAGTCCCAGCTGCTCGAGAGAGAGAGACTGGGGCAGGAAGATTGCTTGAACCTGGGAGGTTGAGGCTGCAGCGAGCTATGGTTGTGCCACTGCACTCTAGCCTGGGTGACAGAGCAAGACCCTATCTCGAACCCCCCCGCACCAAAAAACAAAACCCAAAAAAACAAAATGAACAGTTGTTTGCTTAATTGTTTAAGTGTACCTTAGGTGTTCTCTAACATACTTTTCTGTTAAATTGAACTAGGATCAGAGATGAGATCAGTTTAATCTCCCAGAAAGGGGATTGGTAGGAGGGGAATGGGGTGGACATAACCACATAAGCCAGCCACTGGTGATTTCTGCTTTGCCAACTTGACCACGCAAGCCAAGGGCAGCAGTTTAGATAACTGATTTGACTCCCCTTTGGATGTTAAGTTTTAAGTTATGATAACAACAATGAAATGTGCTGCTGAACTTCTGACTCCATACGCTTCTCAAAGACATAAATGAAGGTTCTATTAAGAAAAGTAGATCACTAGAATGATCTCTAAAGTTTATTGTTTATTAAGCTCCACATTTTTCTAGGTCATATTGTTATGTATATTCTTACTTGTGAATCAATAATTTTGTCTTAAGTCCATTCTATAGGCCTAGTATTGTGCTAAGTGAATGACTCAGCAAAGTCAGAGGAATTAGTATTTGCTTTGTTTATATGTAAAATTTGGCTTTATGTTAAGAAATATTTCCACACTTATATGTGAAACAATAAAGGTCATGAAGTTTATTTCTGCCTCCTAAATTTGAGGATGGCATACCTTCGTGGGTAGGAGGGCTAGAGGAGCCACCCATACTGACCTACAATGGTGTCTTTGTATCTCTTGTTAACCCTTTAGCAGGGGAAGAAGCAAAGTACTGGATTTTGTAGAAAGTTTTTCTTCTCCTGTTATTACTGTGAAAGGTAGATAATTTCCAATTTCTCATCTATTCATCATTTCAGTGGCTTCCTTGAAAAAGAAAGCAATAATAAATATTTGTAACTTGTAGTTTTGTTGGTAGTTTATAATTATGGGATAAAAATGTTAGAATGTTCTGAAGTATAAAAGTAATAGGATTTTCTTCCTTGTATTTAGGCCATATTTTCCTACTTGTGTTCCTCTTTAGTGTGTCAGACTAGAGTTCTTTGAAGATTTTATCTAACCTATGATGATTGCCATTGTCAGGCTTGAAGAAAGCAGCATGGTGAAATAAAGTGGTATATTCTTGGAAAGATTCTTATATCACTGTTTTAAAATAGAGTGAGGCTTTGCTATTTTGTCATTTGAATACTGTGGAATTTAATAATTATTGAATACAAATTGTACATAGTGTTTCTAATCATTTTCAACTTAAATGTCAGCAGATTTCTTTCTCTGCTGGGATATGAGACCAGCTTTTGAATCTTAACTTAATTATAGGTATAGATACAATGTGGTTTAAAAATTAACATTACTCTTAATACATTTTAAAAGTCATCAGAATATTCATAATCCACTCGACATATAGATGTTATCTACTTTGAGAAGTTTGAATCATTAAAAATCACCTGTGTGCAATCAGTTCCACAATTGTTCTTTATCTAGATCATTTGTTCCCTTTGTGTAAGTTTTCAAGGAAGACTAAATGCCCATGTGTCAATATGAAAATA